AGGACAAGCCTGGAAGGAGTTCCAGGTGCAGATGGGGCACACAGATCCCAGCCTGGGTTGGACAGGTGGGAGTGCAAGCACAGGGACAGGGATCAGGGATCAGGGATCTGAGCTGGCTCTGCCCCCAAACAGGGAGCAGCTGGAGCAGGGACAGGGAGGTTTGGAGGGGCAGAGCTGCCCAGAGCTCAGATCCTCGGTGCTGGCTGGGGATGTGATGTGCCAGAGTCAGTACATGTTGCAGGATTTAGGGTTAAAACACAGAAGGTTTCAAAGCCAGGATGGAGAAAACCACTCCAAGGCAGCAGGGATTCCCTGAGCTTGCTGCTGTGAGGGCTGACCCCAGCTCGAGGGCAGCTTTTAGAGGGGGAAGGCTCTGAGGATGCTGAGTCTCTGCAGAGAGGCTGCATTAGGGCTGGGAGCATCGATTCCTGAGCAACGTCGAGGCTCCAGCAGCTGCAGAGACTGGGGGTGACTGGAAAGGCCCAGGAGCTGCTCCAGGCTCTGAGAGGAGCTGGGGACGCTTTGGCTGCTGTGCAGATTCCCAAGCCCCAAGTGATTCCCAAGCCCCAAGTGAAGGCAGGATAAGAAATTCCTGTAAAACACTGAATTATTTCTTATCGAACAAAGGGAAACGTCAGGTCCTGCAGCAAAAAGAAGGCAGGAATTTGGGGCTGAAGGCTTTTGCCGGGCCCAGGAGGAGCTCCCCGGCTCGGGCAGAGCCGATACCGATCTACACGGCGTTTAAGGAAACATTTCTGCGCTTCTAATGAGAAAAGCAGAGAATATCAGCCGAGGTGCCATCGATCACCGCTGTTGAACACGCACAGCCCGGTCACCCCGCAGACTGCCCGTTCGGGGAGCAGACAAAGGCGATAAGGGATGAGCGCCCGGAGATGGATGGGGCTGCGGAACTCCATTAACAGCTCCTGCAAACGCTCGGATCCATCGCATCCCCCGCGTATCGAGCGCAGCCCGCTCGGTGTCGGTGAGGAAATCGTTGAGCAGCCGATGGCTGTGGGTGTGCAGGGGTCACCCGAGTCTCCCTGCCCGCCGGGAGCGCAGAAATCTTTACTCTGAAGGCGCCTCTGGGGTCAAACGCGGCGCCTGCTTCACGCTCTAAATGACTTCCAGCCTGTGCGCTACCTGGAGCCCGAGGATGTCAAATGCTCTCATTAACCCAACTCTCCAGCCTCTGATTCATCCGGAAACTCGCCCGGTTGTAGCTCAGGGGAGGCAAAGCCAGCGGATTGAAACTCCCCAATTTTCTGCTTCCAAAAGCTGCATCACCTTCCCTTTCTCCCCCTCTTTTCTTCCTGGGTGAAAAATTTCCCCTGGTGCCAAAATGCTTCTTCCACTAAGAGAGCAAGGGGAGATTTCTCACCTAGTATTTATTCTGGCCTTTTCAGAGTGAGGGGAGAACATGAATCCCTGTCACATTTCCAGCAGGTGCTGCTGAATAAGACACCCCTTTGCACCCTTTTTTCAATGCCCCCCGTATTTTTGAGGCAGTTTTTATGCCCCCCGCATTTTTGAGGCATCACACCAGGGGCTGGGGCACTGCAGAACACCTGGCTTGGGAAGAGGCTCGGGGGGTACCTCCTCACTCCCTAAAACTCCCTGGCAGGATGGGGCAGCTGGAAGGGTCAGGAAATGGCTTCAGGCTGTGCCAGGGGAGGTTCAGGCTGGATATTGGGCAACATTTCTGGAAATGGCCTCAGGCTGTGCCAGGAAATGCTCAGGTTGGGCACTGGGGAAATTTCTTACTCCATAGGGGTTGTCCAGCCCTGGCACAACTGCCCAGGGTGGAGTTTCGATCCCTGGGGGATTTAAAGGCACTCAGGGACGTGGTCAGTGCTGGGGAATGGTTGGAGTTGATGGTGTTTGGTAGCTTTTCCAACCCAGGAGATTCTGTGGTTCTGTCTGCGCAGGGAAAGCCTCAGTTTCCCATCCCTGCCCTGGTGCCTGTGCTGGAAAACCACAGCAGGAGCTGCTGCCCTGCTCCGGGGGCACCTGTGGGGGCAGGTACAGCACAAATTCCCCCTGGCAGGTTTGGGGCTCCAGGAGCACCTGTGGGAGCAGGTACAGCCCCATCCCAGCTCACACCTGCAGGAGCAGAGGCAGCCTGGGCTGCACATGCACAAATGACAGCGCTGAAATCAGCCTCGGTTCAACATAAATCTAATCCTGATGAATATTTTACCCGCTGTCTTCAGGCTGCAAAGCTGCCCCTGGACTGAAATGTTGAAATGAAACACAAATCTCGTGGTTGGCCCCTAAATGGCCCAAAATGCCCCAAAACCTGCCCTGACCATGGAGGGGTGCCCTGGGGAAGGCAGGTGCCCCCTGCACACCAACACCTGCCCCAGGCAAGGTGCCCTGGTGGCCTTTGGGCTCTGAGAATGGAGCTTTGCATCCATCTGACTCACTTGGTGACCTGTGAGTTGAGTAATGAAATCGAAAGATAGGATCTCTGGTGATATTTATGAGCAACATTCTCCTTTCCATATCTGCGTTTCTTCCTGCCCAAAAGTGGAATTAGAATTAGATGGCTGAATGAGGCAAAACAAAGGACACTGACAGAGCCTGAGATAGGAGAGGATTTTTCATTAAAGAGAGTGACAGGTGGGAGAATGTGTCCAAACGTGTTTGTGGGAGATAATCCTGTGTTTTGGGTTTGGGGCATCACTCACTGAGCCTTACCTGGCACGGTGCTCCCACTCCTGGGATTCCCTGGGAACAAGGGGGGATTTAATCTGTTATTCTGTGGGACAGGGGGTCATGATATGGGGTTGGGAATAAAGATCTTTAAGGTCCCATTCCACCCAAAGAATTCTGTAATTCTGTTGTTTTGTGTGGCTGCTGTTGAGGAATTCATTAAGGGCCAGCAGAAACACAGCCATAAGCATTTTCTGCAGCTCGTTCTGATCACAATCATGCAGCCATCAGCAGCCATCAGCACAGGGCACCGTGAGGCACTGAATCAGGAAAGGCAAGGAGCAAAAGCAAACCTTGGCACCCCAGAAACATCCCCTGCCCATCTCCCAGCCTCTTGCAGAGAAAGGTCCTTGCCTTGGAAACAGTCCACGAGTGTAAACACACCGAGAGTATTTATGGAAATTAATGGTGCTGTAAATCAAATTACACACGTATCCTTTCCTTTCTGCTTAGAAATTATTTTCACACGTTCAAGTATTCCAAATGTGAATGTGGAGGGGCTCGATTGCTGCCAGGAGTAAACACTGAGGAACCTCGTCAGCAGCAATGTTTGATTTCCATTAACCTTCAGTGCAACAGCAAGGAGGATCTGTGCCTGGAATCCTTCACCTGCCTTTCCTGCTGCGTGGAAGGACACAAATGCATCAGGCACATCTGCTGGGGGCTGTGCCCAGTCCCACCCCTCTCCTGGGCTGTTTTACCCCAGAATAAACGAGCACACAATAAAAGGGAACTCCAGGAAAGGCCAGGCTGGGCTGGCAGCTGTGCCTGGGTGTGTTTGGAGCAGCAGCTCACACCAGGGGGAGTGACCGGGGCTGACACCGCTCCCAGCCAGCAGATCCACACCAGGGGTTGGTTTTTAGCTGAATTTGAGGCGAATCTCAAACCCCACCTCAGCTCTGCAGGCACAGGGGGCTGCTCCAGGGACAGGGACCAGGACAGGAACAGGGACAGGGAAAGTGATGCCACAGAGGGACACCAGGAGGAATTTCCCCATGGAAAGGGTGACCAGGCCTCGGCAGGGGCTGCCACAGAGGGACACCAGGAGCCATTTCCCCATGGAAAGGATGCTCAGGCC